GGAACGGGGGCGGGGCGGGGCCGCTCCGCCCGCGCCGCTCGGCGGGGACAAAGCGCGGCGCCGAGCGGGGGCCATGTCGTCCGCAGGCGGCCGCCAGCCCAGCCAGAGCCGGGCCATCCCCACCCGCACCGTCACCCTCAGCGACGCCGCGCAGCTCCCCGCCGACTACTGCACCACCCCCGGCGGGACGCTCTTCTCCACCACACCGGGAGGTAAAAGCGCCGCGCCCGCCGGGGCCTCCGCGGGGAGCGCAGCCGGGCCAGCCCGCCGCCCCGAGCGCCGCGTGTCGCGGCCACGCTGCGCCCCTGTCCCCTCTCTGTGCCGTCTATGAGTAGCGCCTGCCGCCTGTTCTCGAAGCGAACGCTTGGAGATGGGTTTATTATTTTTGCGGGACGCACCGGGAGCGCGGAGGGTCCCGGCGGGGCGGCAGCTGGATCCCGGGACGGGGTGGCAGGAAACTCGCGGCGGGACGCGCGCACCGGGAGCTCCATGCCTCGGCCCTGCCCCGCCCGGCAGCGCGGGGTCGTGACATGCCTCGTCCCCGCTGGGGACAGGGACACGTGTTATTCCGGGGTGCCACATCCATCGGCATTCYCGTGACGCGTTCCCACCCCTGCCGTGAGTTTGCCGCGTCCCTGCGCCGGGACAGCCGGGACCCAGTTCCCGCCGGGGTGTTTGTCCAGCGCCGAATTATCGCCTGTCGTGCCCAGATAAGAGCGGGCAGAGCGGCAGCGCGCACCCCGCTGCCCTCCCCGCCGATCCTTGGCGGAGAACCTTGGCCGGGGCGCCCGTCCCGCCGGGAAACTCCTTCAGCAAACAAGCGCTGCCGAACCGGATTCCCCCACTCTCCTCCCGTCCTCCCCTCAGGCACCCGGATCATCTACGACCGCAAGTTCCTGCTGGACCGCCGCAACTCCCCCATGGCCAAGACCCCACCTTGTCACCTGCCCAATATTCCCGGCGTCACCAGCCCCGGCGAGGCCGGCGAGGAGCCCAAAGCTGACACCAACAACTTGAACCACCAGGAGGGCAAGCCATCCATGGGTAAGGGACCCCTGAGGCGGAGCAGGGGGGATTTGGGGTGGAGGATCACCCCTCTAATGGTGCTTGCTTGCCTCTTGCCAGGGGACGACGCTCAGTTCGAGATGGATATCTGAGCGGGAACCACGAAGAGGCAGCGACTCCCCAGCCCTGCGCACCCCCCATTCGGCTTAGCAGGATCCATCTCGGCGAGGCAGAGGTGGCGGTGGTCCCCACCACTGTCCCCTTCCCCATCCACCTCCTCCCCGTTTTTTGAGGGGAGGGAGTGCAGCTCTGTCTTCCCCCCCTTTGCGGGTGAGCGGTCCCGGCGTGTGCCAGGTGGAGTGTCCCTTCTGGATCCCGCCCCGTTCCTCCTCTCCCACCCGCCGGCAGCCTGATCTCCACCAGGCTTCTGTTTCAAACACCCCTTTGCCTCTCCTGCTGCCTCGTGCCCCCCCAGAACCCCTCTCCTGTCACCCCAAYCTTCCATTGCCAGCAGCTCAGTGTTCCGGAGCTGCGCCACCCCTTTTGCCCCCTTCTCCTGGAATATTTGGGCGGTCTCTTGGGAGGAGGGGAAACTCCTAAAATCATGTGCCCTTTTGCACCCCGGGGAGGGTATTTTTTGAGTTCCCCTGGAATGCATTGGCATTCAGCAGAGAACAACACTGGCAGCCCGTTCCCCTTGGTGCTCCGGGGGTCTGGTGTAGTCCCCAATGGCATCAGCCAGCGCACCCACATCTCTTCCACCCAGATTTCTTCCATCTTGGCCCTCCAGCCAGGGGCTGTGTCCCCARCCCACCAGCCAGGACTCACAGCAGYGTAGCCATATGTTACAAAACCCCCTTGCTTTTATTGTTTTGGTACTAAAAAGGGGCACTTTATCCCCAACAACTTTTTCCGGGCTGGGGCCAAGCACCTCTGGGAAAGCGCTTTGTAGTGCTCAAGTTTTTTACCCCCCTGGCCCTTTAAAATGTGAATCCCACAGCGRGGAGATACCTCTGGTGCCATTGGATATCTCAGGAATCACTGGGTGTCCCTGGGGGCTGTGGGGGCTCGCCAGACACYGCAGGKWCAKGGCACTCCACCCGCAGGGTGCTGCYGTCGGTGCCGTCCTGCGCTCGATTATCAGGGTGGGACTTCTCCCAGCCAGACTGTGCTGTGGATAAATCATTTTCACACTGGCCTCCCCTTTGCCAGCCTGGCGTGGCATGGCCATCTCCAACCTCCCCTGGAGATGGGATTTATTTTCCCCATCTCTCCGTGTGACTCTCGCCTTGAGTGGTGCCAGGTGAGGCCCTGCGTGGCCGCGGTGGTGCCGGGCTGYGCCCCCCAATCCCACCAGCCCCCCAGGTTTGATTTTTTTTCCTGCCTGTTGGGAGCCATCACCAGCCCCACAACCTTCTCAAGTGCCATTTTATCAACCCCCAACTGAGTGCCTGCTCCAGCCATCCTCCCTCCCTTGCTGGGGTCRCCCCCCACCTCGGTACCCAGACGGGGACATCCCACAGGCTTTGTGCACTTTCCATCCCGTAATTTATTTCTCTAGGTGTGTTTGGCACAGGGCGGCGCTGGTGGCGAGCTCCCATCTTCCCGCTGCTTTTCTCGGGCTGCCCCTCGTTTTTGGGGGTGGGGGAGAAAAAAAAAAGCAAAAGCACGACCCCAAAAAAGGGAACGGGATGATGTCTTTGCCGTCCTTTTCCCGGCGTGGGGAGGCGAGGTGAACGCGCAGCCCGGCCGCCGTAGGCGCACGAGTGAGTGAGTGCGAGTAGAAATATGTATATGCGTGTGGGTGGGTGCTGATAGGACACACACAAATATATATATTATATATAAATAAATATATTTTCCTTGAAGCGAAGATCCTAGAAGGTCGGTTAGGGACCCTCGGATCGAGGGAGGGGCAGGGGCAGGGGGCGAGGGCATCCTGGGTGGAGCGGGGACAGCCACCGTGGATGCGGGGACCCGGCGCCCTGGGCAGAGCTGCTCCTTTTGGGAAACCTGCTCTGCCAGCCAAAAATAATCAGACAATATCCAAGGACAGCGTGACTTAGTGGACAGGAGCCGGAGGGAAACCTTTTCTGTTGTTGTTCAGTTGGTTTTTTTTTGGCTTTTTGTTTTGTTTTTCTCTAAACGCCCCCTTTTCCAACCTTCTTGTGTCTCTGTTCCCCATCCCAGCGACTTTCTCCCGGTTCTCTTTTGTAAGCGGGCTCGGGGCTGAGCAGGGAGGGAGTGCCTGGCCTTGCTGGGGCGTTCCTCTGCTAGTCAGGGGATCCATTTGGGATTTCTGTTGTTTTTTACCGTCTCTTCAAGCAGGTGTTTGGGAGGAGAAAAGCTCTTGCCGGTGGTTGCTGTTACAGTACGATCAATAAAGATCTTGATTCTACTAAAACCGAGGTGATCTGGACTGTGATTCAAGGGGGTGGGGAGGGATTTTCCATTCCATTCGGAGCAAACCCCTGTCATGGGCCATCCCCCAGAGAGCATGGGAGGGTTAAACCCAGAACCAGCAGCTGAAATTGCAGAATGTCACACAGAGAAACCTGATTTTCCCACGTGTAGAAATACCCTAAACGGATCATTTGTCCTGTCCCCAGTGGTGGCTGCCTCATCCCTGGAAGCATTCATGGCCAGCTTGGACAGGGCTTGGAGTGAGGTGTCCACCAACCCGAATTTGAACCCTTCAAGGGATGAGACACTATTAATACATGTTGATATATTATAATTGAATGTATCTTTTAAATTTTTTTAAATCAGGCCAATCTCTTTTATGCCATCCACTCTAATTGGGGAAGGGTCTGAGCAGCAAAAGAAAGCCTTTTCCCCCCACACAGGGCAGCAGCAGGATGTCCTGTCCTCCTGCCTACACCCCCCAAATTTTTGTGGGTGCCTCAGCAAACCACCAATGCCTCAGCTGTGTGTGTGAAATACCRCAGCAGCACATCACATTCCCRAAGGATTCAGAGCCCAGGGATGAAGGTGGGAGGGGTCTCCAAGGGTTTTGGGGCCTCTTTGTGCACCCTGCTTTGGCTGAGCTCGGAATGGTCCTGCCATGACCTCCGGTGGATTCTGCTCTCATTGCAGCGGTTTCGTTCTGCAGCGTCAGGGAAATCGGGAGCGTGCGTGTGGAGAGCAGCGCGATGGCAAAAGTGCTGACAAAAGSCATTTCGGGAGCTGCTTTTCCCTGAGTCTGATTTTGACCCAGGGCATTTCCTCCCAATTTTTGGGGTGTTTTTTATTTATTAATCCCAGCTCCTGAAGCCCGTGCAGTGAGGGGAGTGTGTGTGTATGTATCCCTGGATTTTCATGTGCTTCTCCCTAAGGAGCTTCCAGATGCTGATTTGGGATCTGAAAACAGAGAATTGAACTAAAATAAATGTAAAGATTTATAAAACTTCAGTCTAGGACTGTAGAGGCAGCAGAGCAGCTGAGGGCAGGGTATTTTGGCTGAGGTGGAGGCCGGGAGCCTGGCTAGGATCTCKGATCCTGATGAACAAACTTTCCAGCCCTGCTTTCCAGCCGTTACCATTTTCGGACTCGCTCGGGGCTGCGTTTACATTCCTGGCCCCACTTCCCAGTGCYGGTTGATGCCGTTTTCCTCCTTTTCCTGTGCCCTGTTGGTGTCCCCTACACTGATTTGGAGCAGCACGG